AGTCCATCCCAGCCTGTCCCAGTTAACTCCAAACTGCTGCACTCTCCAATCCAGCGCTCAGGCTGGGTCCCTAGAGCCTGAGCCCTGAACAGCCCGGGGCAGTGCTACGGGAGAGGGGCAGCTGGGGGCTAGGGTGGGGGATATCGAGTGTGCAGGATGGCAGGGCATGGGGATGGCTGGCTGGCTGAGTGGATAGATGTGGGTCTGGGTAGATGAACGTATATCCAGCTGGACGGCCAGGTGGACGGCCCTGGGGCCGGGTGGATGGATGTGAGGCCAGAGAGATGGATGTGGGGCTGAGTGGAAGGACATAAGACTGGGTGGGTGGACATGGGGCCAGGGGGATGGATGTGAAGCCTGTTGGATGGACGTGGGGCCAAGTGGCTGGGTGTAGGACCGGGTCGGGTGACAGACATAGGACCAGGTAGATGGCTGTGGGGCTGGGTGGATGGCCGTGGGGCCAGATGGACGGCATGCAGGCCCCCTGGCACCCCAGACATGGGCTCCGCTGCCCCCCAGGCCCCCTCCTCCCGCAGCTCTAACGAGCTGCCCTTGCAGCCCCCCCGGCTCACCCCCCAGCCATTCCCAGCGGGGCCGGGGGGCGGGGGGAGCCAGGGGCCGCGATTTCTCATTCCCAGCTCATTTCCTCTCCCGCACGGGGCCTATTTTTCTACCCCTCTTTTAATTCAGTCACTCAAGCTGACAGCTACAGTGTGTACGGCGCCGGCGACAGGCCCGCGCTGCCATATTCCCCCTGTAAATCTCCCGGTGTGTCAGCGCTGCCTTCACTCTCCAGCCGCCCTGATAAATATTCATTTTATTTGGGGATTTTTCATCTCTCTTCCCTCTCCCTCTCCCTCCAGCTGATCCCGCTCATCAGCTTCATCGGCCTGGGCATGGGCAGCGCAGCGCTGTACCTGCTGCGCCTGGCGCTCTATAGCCCCGATGTCAGGTACGCGGCTGGGGGGGCGCCGAGTCCCTTCGAGGGCATCTCTTCTGGTCAGGGGTCTGTACAGCTCCAAGCACACCTGGGCACCAGTGGGGGGTGTGCAAAGAGGCCTCCCCTGCCCCTCTTCTCAGGGTGACACAGCTGGGCCAGGTCCCTGGATGCCTGGATCCTGTTCATGTCTCTCTCACTGACCCGCTTGGGGAGAGGGAGCCTTGGGCCTCAGTTTCCCCTCCTGCTCAGGCTGCTGGAGCAGGGGCAGTCCTCTGTGTGGCACAAGAGCCGGAGCTGGTGGGGCACAGGTACGCATGGAGCCTGTGTCCTCCATGTGCTAAGCAGGGTCTGAGCATGTTCAGCCCTTGGATGGGAGACCTGTGTGGGGGGGGCTGCGGCCTGGTTCCCAAACCCCCCCAAGCAGGGCCTGGTCCAGGAGCTCCGTCCATAGGCACCGATTG